GCCTGTCTCAGGGTTGATCTCTTCACCTGCATCCCCTGAAGGCTTGGCTTCCGCACTCTGCTTAGCCGCCAGTTAGTCTCTCTGTAAAGCAGAGGCTTAAAACTTCTGCCGTTTCCCTACCAGGTCTTTGTCCTTTGTATGTGAATCGGGAGGTTCCTTGTATGTTTCGATGCCAGTCTTTTGTCAGATTTGTTTGGCAAATATTTTCCTCTAATCTTTAGGTTGAATTTTTCTTTTATTGTTGGTGCCCCTCAAAGAGCAGATCTGAATGAAATCTGGATGTTCCCTGAGGACACTGGGCTTGCAACGGAGGGACCAGATCCTGCCCTCCAGAGCCAGCTTGGGTGTTCAGGTTCTTGATCCTGATTACATCTGTGCGGGATTTGCCTGTCTCAGCACCGCTGGTTGGAAAGGCTGCTTGTTTTCAAAATCAGTTGATTCTACCTGTTACCTACTGAGCCCTTGCTCTGCCTGCTGCTCTCCTGGGCCTGCCTCCCCAGGCTCTGCTCGCCTCCGCGCCGTGGCTGCCAGGAAACTCAGGAAGCACCTCGGTCTCTCCCAGGAGAGTCTTGGCCACACTGTGTCTGCTGCATTTTCACATAAAAGTTCAGCATCTGACTTTCACGTTCCATGAAAATGCCTGCTGAGCTCATGGCTGGAGCTGTGCTGACCACTTTGGGACGAACGGAAATCACAACACACTGAGTCCTCCAGGTGAGACTACGATACATCTGCCCACTTATTTAGATCTTCTTGCCTGAATCTCTCCCCGCAGTATATCTTACATATATTTGGTTCAGCTCCTCTCCAAGTATTTATTCATTTTTTAACACACACAAAAATGGCCTTACTCTCTTTCCTTGCTAGCTGTACGATGTTGCTAGGGTCACCATGGCAGGGTGTCACAGAGTGGTGGCTTAAACACCAGGATCACACCCCACAGTTTTGGAGACCAGCAGACAAGCCCAGAGTGGCAGGGATGTGGGGTCCTGAGGTCTCCTCTTTGGCTTGTGCTCTACTGTCCTCGGCTTCCTCCCCACTAATCCTCCCTCTGTCCCTCTGCTTGAGAATTCAGGGTCTCCTTGTGTGTGGATATCCTCTTCTGCAAAGGCCCAGTTAGCCTGGGTTAGGGCCTACCATGCCATCTTGTCTGGCCGTCAGCACCTTTCAGGGCCCTGCCTCCAAATACCGTCACGTTCCAAGGTCCTGGGGTTGGGACTTCAACGTGGGACTTTGGGGGGGGGGGGGCACAAAGGTCTGCAGCACTAGTGTATAGAAAGTGCATTGACTTCGCATGCTGACCACCTGTAGCCTGGTGACTCACCTCTTAAATCCTGCAGTTGCTTCACGTGTTCCTTAAAGTGTTCATCACAGACACATCTGCAGGGAAAGTCCCCTCTTCCCTCTCCAGCGTGTGTGCTCCATGTTTCTTTTTGTTTTTATGACTTACTGCCCTGGTGAGGACCCTGGCACAACGTCACATAGAAATGGTAAGGGTGCACTGGCTGCTTCCAGTCTTACGGGAGGTTCTTTGAAGATGCTCGCTGTCAAGTTGAAAGTGTTTTTCTGCTTGCTGATGATCTCCTTTTATCACCAATGACTGCTGAATTTTATCAGGTGGGTTTTTATGCATCAACTGAGATGGCCATTGGTTTATTTTTGTTAAAGTGGTAAGTTGCCTTAAACAACCTTTGAATGTTGGGCCGATAATAAGCACCTGGGGCAAATCGCACCTGGTCATTGGAGGTCATCCTTTAAGAGCTGCTGCGTGTATTTCTGGGTTCAACGTACTAATGCCTCACTGAGGATTTCCTATCCCCATCATGAGGCAGGTGGCTCCCTCTGACCTCTGTGTCATACTCTAGTATCAGGGTTTTCTGGCTTGTTGGTAAAATATTGATATTTTATTGCTTTTACCTTAAACATTTGATTAAATTCACCTGAAGATTTCCTTATAGACAGCATTTTAAGTAGTTAAAATCAATATGTTATTGAATTCCATTTCAGTGAAATTTCTAATTTCATCCTGAATCATTTGGGGTTAGATTTCCCCCCAAGGACTTTGCCCAATTTGTGTTGATTATTGAATTTATTGGCATAAAGTTGCTTAGTGTGCATGTCACCTGCATGGTACAGTCTGCAGCAGGAACGCAGACAGTGGGTGGTGGTAGTGAGCAGGGACTGCATAGTGGCTCTTGCCACCTCTGTTCTCTTTTTGGGAAAAGGAATTTGATTATTTGCTTCTTCCAGTTGTAGACCAAACCTATCCCCAGAAGAGGTGGTCAAACCATGTGATGTGAACCTGGCCCACTGTGTCTGTCCCCTGGAGCTGGAGTGTCCCTAACCCAATGCCAAAGGCTCAGACTGCAGTGGGCACCATGAGGTGGGGCCTGGTGGGAGGTGCTGGGCCGTGTGGGAGGGTGCCAAGGGGACCGTGGGAGTCGGCCGCCTCCTCTCTCTTCAGGAGGTGGATGGGCCACCTCTGCATGTGCTTCCACCATGATGTGCTGTGGGCCCCAGGCCCAAATGAATGGAGCCCCCCAAACGGAGCCCAGAGGAGTCGTTCCTCTTTGTAGGCTCCCTCAGGGGTTCGGTAGAGTACTGGAAAGTTGACTGACAGGTCAGAGTGGAGTCTTCCTCTCTTCAGTGGGAACACAGGGTGTCGAGGGCTTTGTGAAGTCACAGCACATTTATTTGTTATAAATAGTATCAAGAAATAAATATCAACTTATTTCCTGGGAATAATTGTTATTTATTCTTCACCTCATTCCAAAACAAGGTTGGAGATGTCTAGAGCATCGTCCATCAACAAGTTAAGACAAAGGATCAGGGAAAGTGGAAGAAGAGGAAAGGCCAGTTCAAGACGCTCCCCAGGGCCCGTCAGGGCTCCAGGAGGGACCGCTAGGGATTCTGCCTGGCTGCCTGGAGACCAGAATGGGCTGAAACGCCCTGTCCCGGTGCCCTGTGGCGTGTCTTTCAGGCAACAGGCCTTCTCAGTAACCCCATCGCCACCTCTGCCACCACTTAGGCCTCGAAGCCTGGGCATCCCCGATGGCAGAATCCATGGACGATCTCACCCTCAGCCCTTCCTGTTTCTGGTAATGTAGGGCTTTCAGGGTAGGGGAGGAAAGGGACATTGGAATCTTGCCATGGTCTCAGTCCATTGTGCTGTGATAAGAAAAGACTATATGGTCTGGGTCACAAACGGCAGACAGTCCTGCGGGCTGGGAAGTCCAAGACAAAGGCTTAGCGGAGCTGCAGTCTAGTGAGGGCTGCCCTGGGCCTCTGCAGGGCCAGTGTTGCTCCTGGCATGGTGGGAGGGACGGAAGGGCAAACTTGACCCCTGGAGCCCATTCATGGGCCGCTCATAAGGGCACAGACTTCCAGGTCTGTGCACTGAGCTTGACATTTCAACATGAACTTTGGAGAGGGATACAGATTCAAGTTGTTACACCTGTTTGTTTCACCAAAGCAACCAATTCAAGCCCAACATCCAGTCTTCAGTTTCAGTTTTAAATGAACTGATGTTCAGCAAGGAGGACGCATGGACCTCCACCAGGCTGAGCAGGGAGGGGTAAAGCCTCCTCTTCGTGAGCACTGTGGCCACTGTCCCAGTAGCTAGTTGACCACTCTCCTTCAAACGTGGGTTGTTTACTTGCACACAACTTTCAAGTTTCAGAGGAACCCAAATTACAAAAGGATAATCATTAGATGCAGGAAAATAAGCCCTTGTATGGAAGGATTGGAAGGAATTTCTCAAAGTCCCCATATTATCAATCTAATTACGTGTTTCCATGGAGTGAGTAATGTCTTACATTCTTGCCAAGGGTACTTTGAAGGGAGTTTGCTGAAAGTATGTCAGCTAAGTCGCTCTGGTGTATCACTGCTAATGGTGTCATTCACACGTTGTGCAATATACACCCCAGATTTAATTCTGCCCCAAAATTAGGTCATTGCAAAATGCCATATTAAGCTGCAAATTCACAACAGGAAGATCAGGATGAGACAAAGAAAGAAACCAGTTCCCTATTTCTAAAACACACACACACACACACACACAGCACAATAGGCTACACAAAATAGGGTAAGAAGGCTGAGTTTTTCCACTGGGTATTTTTGAGGCGATGTTAATTCCAGTTAAACGAAAGTGATGGATCAGTGTAAAATTGAACTGTGGTTCCACTGCCCGCAGCACTGGTCTTTCCAGCTGACCTAACTGTGCAGAGGTGTCCTGGTTCCCTAACTTCGGCTGTCATTCCGGCTTTGTTTGCCTTTTTTTTTTTCCTGAAAATCTTTTCCAGTTATGAGAAGGGTGTTTGATGCAACACTAAATGCCCTTAGTATTGTTAGCTTCAAGCAGGGCACGGTCCTGTCGGAGGCCCACAGCTACTCCACGGGCCTGTCCGGGTGGCAGCGCGCGCCTCGCTTCTCCCCACCCCGCTCCTGGAGGGCGGAGCTGCGCCCCGTGGGCTTCCTTCCAGTGCTCCTGGGAGCGCGGGTCTGTGGTGTGATAACTATATGGTCTGGGTCACAAGCGGCAGACAGTTCTGCGGGCTGGGAAGTCCAAGTAGCCCGCGCGCTGAGCAGGCTGCCCGAGCCGCAGCGTCTCACTTTCGCGTGGGCTCGCTACCTCCGCCTCTGGGCTGGGGAGGGGCGCCCCTCGGTGACCTTGCCCGCCCGGAGCAGGACCTCGCGGACACACCCGCGCGCCCCGCAGCCGGCGCACAGGCGCACCCCAGCGGCCGCCGCCTCCTGCAGCCGCTGCCTCCCGAGCCCGCAGTCGCCGCCGCTGCCCGGGAGCGGCACGCGGTGCCCGGTCCTCGCCACACCCCGGGCGCGGCTGCGGTGCGGCCCCGCCCTCCACACCTGGGCCTGCGGGCCGGGGCGGGGCGCGAGGTGGCCCCGGGCGCTCCCCAGGGCCGGCGCAGCAAGGCGGGGAGGGTCGCGCGCACGCAGCTCCGGGAGGGACCCGGGCGGAAGGCAGCCCCGAGCGCCATGGACCGCGCGGGCCCGGGCCCCGGGCGGCCGGACCCCGACTGGGTGGAAGCCTGGCTGGACGACCACCGGGACTTCACCTCTTCCTACTTTGTTAGAAAGGCCACCAGGTAAGAACGATCGCAGAGACCCGCCGGGCTGGAGCGTGGCCTGCTGGTCTCCGCGGCCGAACTTCTCCCCGCTCACCACTCCGGGACCCCTGCCCAGGCCGCTGTCCCGGGAAGTGGGTCCTCAGTCCCCTGGTGTGGCGCACACTCGACTTGAAGCCTGCACGGTCGTGAAACTAAAGCGTGGGGTTCAATCCGACTCGCTTACAAAGTTCAAACACGAAAACGTGCTCGCGACCCCTGTCCCCAAGCCCTTGGCGTTCCCCTAAGCGAGATCATTTGTTCGCCTCGCGCTCGAGGGTCTTCCTTCCGCCTCCATTCCCGGGTCCCCCTAAATCCTCTTAGCAAAATCCAAACAGCTTCTGCCCCCTTTCCCGCTCCGGAAGCGCCGCTGCCGCTCGGTCCCCGCTCCTCCCCCGCGCCCCTTGTCCTGGCCGCGGGGCGGGGAAGCGGGTGGGGACGCGCCCGGGAAGCCCGCGGCAACGACTGCCCGAGTCCTCCCGGAGTAAGTGCGTCGCCTCTGGCCCCTTCCAGTCCCCGGCTACCCCGCGCGCTTTCTTTCTCTCGCTTGCTCACCCAAGGCGGCTCGGGGGCTGGTGGAGCGCACACAGGCGGGAGGGCGGTGCCGTGGCCCTGGACCCGGGGCTCCCGGCCCCGCCGAGCCCCGCGCCCGCGCTGCCTGGTCCTGGGCCAAGCGCCGGGGCCCTGTGGGGCGGGGCGGGAGCCTGCGCGTTGGGAGGCGACGGCACACCGGGCAGTGGCGCGCGTGGGAAACGCTCGCTGAGGAGTTGGAGGAACTGAGACTGGCTCCGAGGGGCCAGAAGGGTGGAGCAGAGAGCGCGCGGCGGGCGGGAACCCCCGAGCCTGCGGAGGCGGCGCGGGGCCGGGGCACGGGAGGCTCCCGCGCGCGGACCTGGGAGTGTGCGGCCCGCGCCCCTCTGGGGGAGGCCGCGCGCGCCTCGCCCAGTGCCGGCCCGCGGGCCGGTGGCGATGCTGGAGCGGCCGCCGGTGGGCGCGTTCTCCCGGGCCGGCGCGGCCGCCGCGCTGCGGGGCGCTCCCCTGGGCGGCCCGCACAGGGCGGGGACGCGAGCCCCGAAGCGGCTGCACCTGGTCGCACCCTCCCTGGGAGCCTCCTGGAGTGTGACCCTGGGCGCCCGCGATGCTGCCCTTCGGAGACAAGACCAGGTACTTGCTGCGCTCGCCTTCCGCTCCCCGGCGCGGGTGGGGCGGGTGGGGCGCATCGCGGGAGATGCCTGGTTGGGAAGGGACAGCGTGACTTGCAGAGGTTTTGCTTGGGGTCTTAGATCCGGCCTTCTTAAATCCTGTTTTTCCAAAGAATGTTCAGAGTTAGTGTAGATTTAATATCTTTAGTTTTTCTTTTCTTTTTTTGGACAGGCCAACCCTCGCGGGGGGGGGGGGGAGGCAAATCTCACCCCCTTCAAAGTGCCCATGCCCTCCTGTTTCGATCCTCTTTCCAGATTTCTCCTTCTACCTCCAGAATCCTGAATCCAGAGCGGTCAGAGCATAACCATGAGAGGAAAGTGGTTTCTCTATAAACAGCACTTCTCCGTGAGCTGGGGGTGGGGCCCTGAGCCCACCTTCATCTGGAACCATCAATTGCTGTGAGCCAGCAATTCTCAGGGGTCACCTTCTACCCCAGGGCATCTGTCCAGTGAGGTCCCCACCGGCACTGTCACACTCCCAGCTGTCGCTCTTTGAGCAGAGGGCAGTCTTGGAGAGGCCCCGGGACAGTGTGGAGCATGTGGGAGACGTTTTTTAGATAGATTATTAACAGTTCAGAGAATGAGCTAGTTTGTTGGTACATCAGCATGGATGTCCCTGTCTTTGTTTTACTCTTGAAGTTAATGGCTTCGTGTTTTGTTATTTGTAATATACGAGGGCCCTCACAGCAGAGCCCACTAAACTTTGAAAGTGTTGCGACGTTGTTGTTACATTTCCTGCCATTGCTTTTTCTTCCAAGTGATATAGGATTAAAATCCCAGCTCTCAAAATTAGGATGCACTGTAAAGTTTAGATCACTAACACTTCAACCCCCACCCCCATTTCTGTATTACAGTTGATGTTTGCAGTGGCAGAACATTGCATGGTGTGTGTGTGTGTGTGTGTGTGTGTGTTCTTAACCAAAGAGTTCATGTTGAATACACGTTGGAAAACGAAAGTGCACAGTATTTTAGAGCCCTGCAGGCCTTTAGCTTTAGCAGTTATGAAGGGCTGAAGGTTGTCGTTGTAAAGAGTATAATCTGAGGATTTTGGTGTAGGCTGAGAACTCTGGGAGATAGTATTCCCGTTTGGCTTTGTACTAAATGTCATTAGCTGCAGTCTTTTAAAATAAGAACAAGAAGTTGAATATTAATTGTTTATAAACATGCAAACTACTAAGCCCAGTTTGGTCCACACTGAGGTAAGATTTATGGTGAACATTTTCACTTCGTAGCTAAGGTTTTGTTTGTTTGTTTTTTAATTAGAAGTGCAGATCACTTTGTTAGTCTTGGTAAGTGTAAAATGAAAACTGTATGTGTGATTCGGGAAATTCATGAAGCAGAACAGTTCTTCAGAGGCATGTGGAATATTTTAAGACTTAGATTCTTTCAGATGTCCATCAGCACCCAGGCTTGCTGCAGAACTATTTCTGCATTATTTAATCATTGCCATTGACATTCACACATGCCTGTATCCTACCTGCAGACCAAATGAGCTGCCTTCAGTGGGTTCTGGCATTCCTGAGCTCTTTTCAAAACCTGTGGATTTTGGTTGTCCTTGAACACAGTCATGCTGTATAATTACATTGTTTCCTGTAATTATCTTGAAATACAGAGCTAAGCAGCTCATTAAAAGCTATAGTTTCCAGCATGGAAATAGATGTATTTAAGTAATCATAACCTGTTGATGTGCCTTTGAGGGTGGCACTGCGAAGTGCCTGGCTGGCTCTTGCACACGGTCTGCAGTCCTGGGGCCTGGTGCTCTGCACCCGGACCTCGCACTTCCAGGTGGAGCCTTCCTGTGCTAATGCCTCCAGCAGCTGCTGTGATTCTTGACAGCCTGCGAGAATAACCTTACCTTTCCTGAGTTAGGAATCAGCCTGTGACTGCAGGTGATGTTTTAGGTCACTCGTATTGTGGGATGACATGGTTGACTTTTTATTGCTTTGCTTTGTAGCAGGCAAAAGCTGAAGAGTATTTGACATACAGTGGAAATGGGAGAGATTCAGTGAGGACAGCTTTTATGACAGTGTGGGTCAAAGTCCAGAAACAGAACTTTTCCACTCCCACGCAGCTTTCTGTGGCGGATGTTTTATTTGACACTGCAAAGCTGTGCCGAATGAGTTAAGTTCAAGGTCCTCCATTTGGGATTCTTCTTATTTCTTTTTTCTTTGCCATTCTTTTCTCATTTCTAACTAAAACCTGCAGCATTTTTATTTGGAAAGTGTTTACATTAAACTCAGATGACGGATATAAAATAAATGTTGCTATCCATTCTTAAAAATGATTGTTTCTATAATTAGATAGGGATATAAACATTCTCCACAGTGTTCAGACGAATGATTTGTTACGCGTGTTCTGTTAGGCAAAGGCTCTTGTGAAAAGTTGATCTTATTTATAATATTTTACGATGGCAATTCTGGTGCAGAATGGCCTTTTCTCCCTGTGCTGTGTGTAGCAGGGTCCATAGGGCCAGCTCTATGCTGCCTTCATGGCCTCTGACCTCTCCCGAGGGTAGGATTCTTCCTGCCGAGAGGAATCCACAGGCGCCCTGGAAGTAGGCATCCCATCACCCTCTTTCTGTACTGTTTTTAAAGTTCAAATTCAGGCTCATTTTAGGGCCTGAACTGCATGATCATGATTCTTGAAACTCTGGAGATATAATGCAATAAGTGTTATTCACAGATGGGTATCTTGAAATAAGCTGATTTCCTCAGTATAGCAGACCTAAGTAGGCTTGCTGTAAAATGAATAGCTCCCTTTTCTGTTTGTGATCTGAAGATCTGTAGAAATTGCCAGTGTTTTCAGGAGGTAATTTGCACAGCACTTCAGAATCAGGAACATTTTTGCCTTTTGATTATGTTAGGCAACAAAACTTCCTTTTTGAATAATTCCACCTAAATTTGACTCTGGTTTCTAACATCATGTCTTTTAAAATATTTGAAATTTTTTCAAATTGCGTGACAGTTGTGCCTTCACCCTGGTCTGATGATAATAAGAAGCCTCATTTCCTCTGGAGTTGAAAACATCAGTTAGCTTGGAGCTGTGCTCCACTGCCGTGCGCTCTGAGTGATTTCTTTTGTAGACGGGAAGGCTAAACAGAACTCCTTGGCACTTATTAGTTTATACTGCAGACACTCTGGGCCTAATAATTTATTAAACCTGTCATTATAACTGAGTTGCAATTGTTTTCCTCTCGGAGCTGACCGGAGGACAGGGCCTCTCCCTGGGCAGTAGCGCAGGACCGCTAAGCCAACCTAGCGAGGACGGGTGGTGGGGACTGAGCAGTGACTCTTCTCTGTGACACTAGTGCAGCTGCTCGGCTGCAGCTTCTCTGGGTGGCGTCACCTTGGTAGGCATCTCAGGTTCTCAGGGACAAGCCTGTGAGCTACATACCTGGGAATAAAATTGAAGAAAGTCTTTCCGTGTGAGTCACTCACTTGATATTTAGCTCTGCAATCTCATTTGCCCTCTTGGTGTCTCATCCTGAGCGCTTTGTCCATTTTCTTTGAATGTTAGGAATTTATATTTATTGCCAAACAAATGTTTAAGGCAGATAAACAAACTGAGTGTTGAGTTGATAAGAATCATTTTGTAAAGGGCTGGGATTGTGGCCCAGCAGTAGAGCACTCTACTAGCACGGGCGGGACCCAGGTTCGATCCTCAGCACCACATAAAAATAAAAGGCATTGTGCTGTGTCCATCTACACCTAAAAAATAAATGTTAAAAAGAGAATCATTTTGTTAAATATTCTAAAAAGGTTTTAGAGGCCTTTTAAAAAG